CAGGGAATCAGAATGAGAGATAGAGCATATAGGTAGCCATGTGAGATTTGAGCCTGCTCGTTTCTTTCTTGTGCGATAGTTCCCTCTTCCATGATGTGCAGCATTCACGTTGTCATTAGCTAAGATGATGGAGGCATAGGATTAGCCCACGACCAAATTGACTGTCCTGGTGTGTCATACCCCCTAGTCAGCCCCTTTGAGCCGTGTGTTATCCTTTCTTTCGATCTACAATGAGAAAATCACCCTTTTGCATCTCTTAGAAGGTTCCACAGAGTGGTTTTTACATGTTTTCTGCTGTTCTGCTAAATGTAATGTGAGGGTTGGAGGTAGTTCTTAAAAAGGTGGGCACGTGTTTGAAAAACAATGTGAATAGGTGGTGGTTCTCTCAAGAAATGAAAGAAGCAAAGAAAAAGGAAAAAAAATGAATGAAAGCAAAAGAGAGCCACCACTAAAAATATGAATAGTGCCCGATAAGTAGTGTTTCTTAGCAATCTGGCTTAGAAATACTAACATTATTGTGACCTCCTTCGCTCTTGTGCTCTAAATAATTTGAGTGATGCAGACTGGCAGGAAGAAAGTAAGTAGTTTGATTGGATGTGATTGTGTTGGGTTGGAATTGTGGAACCTTGTGCTATGAATACTTCCACCACCTAAAAGCCCTTTTTCCCATGTCCAATACCCTAGCCAGTCATTTGAATCTGTGTCTAAGACCTCTAGATTAGTTAGTGGTGACACCCCATATGTGAACTCTAGCATTTAGAGGCTGCATTCATGGTGAAGAGACGTTAGGGATTGAGAGAATAAGCATGCACATTTTTCGCATCAAATTGTCCTGACCCCACTGGTCGAGAGTGAGTGATTCATTTTCTCATATTCTATATACTCTTTATCCCGGTGAGGACCTAGATTGCTCTGTCTTAATTCTGATATCTTGAGCTTTTTGCATGAAGTGACTGTCTGGAATAAGTGGTTGAGTGGAGTCTATGTTGGTTGGTGAACAGAAGGGAGACTTTTTCTTTGCTCAACTTTGCTGCATTCGAATGTCATCTGTGGTGGTTGTCTAGGTTGTCGTTGAGGTTGTCTATGTGTTAATGACCAAAAGCCAGTATGATCCACGTGTTTTGTGCCGATATGATATGTTTTAAAGCCTGCTTGATTGAAACAGTTTGAGCTTACCTTGTGTCTGACTCGGTTTGCTTGGGGACAAGCAAACGGTTAAGTGTGGGGGGAGTTTGATAGACCGATAATTGCACAAGTTTTTACCCCTATTCTTGAGCCGTTTGAGATGTTGATTCTCGTGTTTTAAGACGATTTCATGCGAGGTTGTGCGTTTATGTCATATTTCAGGGCTCAGCATTGGAATAGAGGCGAAGAAACGAGTTTCGGGTCGAAAGGAGCGAAGTTGGGTCGAAGTGTGCTGCAGGAGGAAAATACCCGGTCATGGGCTCAAATACCCGGCCGGGTATTATTTGGAGCTAGACCGGGGAAAACTAGTTTTTTACGTCGAGAAACAAGAGGGGCCCGGTCTTGAAGCTTAAATCCCAGGTCGGGGATTATTGGCCTAGACCGGGGATTTTTCCCTGTCCCCAACGGTGCGTTTTGATTATACCCGGTTGGAGGCCAAAATACCCGACCGGGTATTTCCACCGGGTATAGCGATCTTCAGCTTCTTAAGGGAAAAGAAGCCCAAAATAGAGGGGTTCCGAGTTTTAGAGAGACAGAGCGATTCCTAGAGAGAGAAAGCGACGAACCAGAGTTCCCAAGTGCCCTAGCTTGATCTTCATCACCATTGGAGCCCGACTTGAGCTTGGAGAAGTACCGATTGACGACGAGGAGCAGAAACTCATCCTTCACAGTATGATTTCCGCATCTGAATCTGCTTTTGCTTCTCTCTCCATGGAGTATTTTTCCTATTCATCTGGGTATGGAGAACCCTAGATTTGTATTTTAGGTCTGATTGTATGAACCCAAGTACAGATTTTATGATTTGATTATATTCAATTAAGGCTTGAATGATTGAATGACTTGAATCCTAATCAAATTCCTGTTATTTCTGCTTTAGCCTAGAAAAAGAATATCTGCCTAGGTTAATAGAGCACCCTTAATTGAAGGTAGCGAATTGGCGACTTTAGTCGAGGAGCCAATTCACTATTCTGTACCGAATTCACTTAGGTAGTGGAGGTTTTGTTCATTAGGGCCTCAATCTGTTTACCCCGGTGGAGGTTAGACGCCCGCTAAAGACTCAGATTGAGAGGGTCTGGAGACCTTTAGTCGAGACTTCAGACTGTTTAAGAACCTCCCGCAGTATAACTATCATTAAACCTGAACTTGGTAAATTGCAATCCGGCTTAACTGCAGTCTAGGGGGAACCATATCCGGGTGACCTCTCTCGACTTGAAAACAACTGTTTAACTTGCTTTGTTTGTTTGTTAATTTGGACTTGCACTAAAGTTTCACCGCTAGATAATAAGAATTCACTGAGTAGTCATCAAATCTAGGACCCGGGTTGACATTAAAACCCAAACCTTCTATACTACGCTTTAGGAAGTGGTTACACTTGGCCATTTTCTAGAGTGACAGTAGGAGTGAGTCACTAGCAATACAAATAGTGAACTCCTATCATTCTGACACATTGCTAATCACAGAGTATTTGATTTTTTTTATAATGGTGAAAACTTATTAAACTCAACCAAATGTTCTTCCAAGAAAAACCTGGATCAGGAGAGCTGATCCTGAAACGAAAAAAATAGACCAGAAGAGAAAAAACAGAGAGAAAAAGGAAGCAGCCAAGGACTACCCAGCAAATTACTCCTATTCTAAACAAAACCCAGGACAGAACTCCTACACCAACTGAAACACCTCAAGAGCTGAACCCCTTCTATTCATATAAAAACATCCACAAAAAATAGCAACCGAAGGCCTGCAATGTGCACGTAGGCAGTCTGTCTTTAACTCACGTGGGCTGAAACTCGTATCGACATCAGATCTGCATCACCACTCCCCTTATACGCACACGCAAATCTACGGCCCTGATACAAACCCGCAAGACCACCCCCCTTAACCATCCTGAAAGCAGCACAGGTTCCAAGCATCACAGACTCCTTCTTGTTCCATCTCTACACCAGCCCCATCTTTGTCAACCATCTACAACCCTCCTCCCTCTGCACTTTTCCTTTTGCCACGATCCACTCCAACGCCTTTTTCGCCACCTTCTTCCCTACCGCGATCGTATCCGTCTCTTTGTCTTCGAATATTCTCTGGTTTCTCTCGAGCCACACCGCCCACCAAACTGCATGTAGGATACAGCCATCAAACCACCCCTCAATGCTATCTCCTTCTGCAGTAGACCGATATGTTATAATTTGTTTTAACTCTCCGATTCTTCTTATGGGCCTACTTCTCCTGCAATAAAGGATCCTCCAAATATTCTTCACAAAATCACACTCCACCAATATATGAGACGTCATTTCTTCACTCTTCTTACAGAGGCAACATCTGTTCACTAAGCTTAGACCTCTCTTCTTCAGATTATCAACAGTGAGCACTCTGTTATGATATACCATTTAAATAAAGAAACAGATCTTGCTCGGGACCCACGAAATCCAAACATTCTCCACTGGGAACTCCTCGAGACCTCCTAGCCGAAAATCTGCCAACTTCTTGTACATCGATCTCATTGAGAAAGTCGAGTTAGCCTCAAGGCTCCAAGTCATCCTGCACGGACTATATGAAGCGTACAACAAATTCACAGAGTTTATAAAATTCAGGAACAACCCCCTCTCCCTATCTGCCCCTCCCCTCAAACTATATTTAAAATTGAAATTCCAATTCATCAACTCACCATCAAAACTTACAGTGTCGGAAAGAGAGGCTTCAGGGTCAAGGACAGCAGCGAAAACACGAGGAAATAAGGCAGATAGCATAATCCCAGGGATCCAACAATCGTTCCAGAAGGAAACTTGAGTTCCATTCCCCAGATCAATTACAGCAAACTTCCAGAAATGATCATACTCCTTACTTATATTCGCCCAAACCGACTTGGAAAAACCACCTCTTTCCCTCCTGGTCAGCCAACAAGACGCGTCATTCCGGTATTTGAAATTGATCAGTTCCCGCCACCAACTTCTCCTCTCCACCGCGAATCTCCATAACCATTTCGAAAGCAAAGCATCATTAAACAGCTCCAGATTGTGTATTCCAAGACCTCCCTTCTTGATAGGCGTTTTACACATCTTCCAATCAACCAGAGCCATTTTATTACCATCGGACTTCCCGTTCCAGAGAAACCTTCTTTTGAGACTTTCTAAATCTTTAACTACTGAAATTGGGGCCTTAAAAAGGGAGGATAAATAAGATGTAGAGCCAGAAAGTACCGAGTTGATCAAAATCATCCTTGCCCCATAAGACAGGTTTCTGCTTCCCCAACCACGCAATCTGTTTTGGTACCTTTCCACGATTCCATCCCATATTGATTCTCATTCGGTTTCGCACCCAAGGGAAATCCGAGGTATTTAGGTGGATCTCTGCACCACTTGCACCCGAAGATTGCTGCGAAATAACTCGGTTCAGCTACATCCCCGTGTATTTGATCTTGCTTTGTATAGGATTGCTCTGCCACATTTTGTCGGTCTTGTCTTGTTGCAATCATACGTTTACACCTATGATAAGTAATAGATATTAGATGGATTTAACCGAGGTTGTTACCTTAGATAGTTGAAAGCAGAAAGGGGAAACCTTTCTTTTTCCAACAAGTTCTCGATCATTAGTCTCAACCGTTTTATATTCAATACCTTCTCCAATCTTGTGACCAAATGTACGACATTGAGCACAACGATGATGAACATTAAAAAAAATTCATCTCTTGCTAGTCTAATGCAAAAATATGAGGAAAATGAGGAAGTGGTTGTCATTTCAATATATAGCCCCGTCGTCCCAATATGAGAACCCACTCGAGTAACTTGGTCCATCCATAGGAACGTACCCTGAACACTCTCAACCCTCCTCAAACCATCCATTGTGAAATATTGGAGAGGCAATCCCCAAATACTCACTCAAATAGGAAGAACCCCCAAATTAAGAGTTAACAACTGAATCCCAGGGGTCCATTTCCTCACAAATACTAGACTGTTCTCACTTCTCACAGTTCCATCCCATGGACCATTTTCCAAAACACAAGCACGCGAATCAGTATTAGGGAGCTAGAAAGGATAGAGGTTCTCATTCAGTGGCGAGACATAAACTCGACCTTCTCGACTCCATGACCGTTTCGCCCATCCCCAGATCTTGAACAAACTTGGCGACTTTGAGAGGAGTTGACCCACCAGTGAATTATATGGGGGCGTGGCATACATCAACAATCTTGTTGGTTAGTGCACATTTAAGGACACGACATCCATCATCTCTTCATAATTTTACACAAAAATCTTCATTTTTTGTAAGAGCCTCTATTAATGAAAAGCACACAACAATGGAACCAATGATGGATATGGAAAGTAGACCAGAATACAGAGATTGATCAAACTTTACATTTTTGGCCCGTGAGATTATTGTATCACACCTTCCACTGGGGAACATGCCGAGGGACTAAATGTTGCATCATATAAACATCAAATCATCAAACCCAATTCACTATTTTGCCGGCACAAGTTGTTCCTTCCACTCAGCTAGCTAGCTCTCTCAGAGCTAGAAAGTTGACTCCTTTTATCACAATCCATGTCAAATGGCATCGGATTCCCCCTAGCTATACCCTCAGAAATGACTGCCCAAAAGAAGAAAACAGTGAGCAAACAATTAACAAGGAACATGGTCTGGTTCATGATTATATATGTGGTACCTTGATTTTAGCAGGACTTGGAGTTGGCTTAGCTGAACCAATACCCGGAAACCCAAACCTGGGTTTCTTCTCCATAGGCCCAAGTATCTGAAATGAGCACAGCAAGTTCTCATCCACGCTCATCATTGCACCAGCATTGTCGAACTCCCCACAGTAATTAGGTGCCGAGAATATAGTCACCAGTTGCTTATTGGCAAAGAACTCATATCCATCTTCCATAACCTGCATGCCACAAATTAACCCACTATTAATCTCACTTCTTAACCGCATGAGGCCCTCATCAAGGGGGTGAAATTGGGCCAAACCAAACCCGGGCCCAGCAACTACACTTAAAAATCTCATGCTGTAGGGTCATACATTCAACTTGGTCCGGCCCGACCCTGTTTCGTTTGGTCCTATCTCGTTCGAGTTGACCCGGCCCACATCAATATACACAGACACGGTATTCTTTAAAAATTACATTTTGGAACCCAGACTTATTTTTTATACAATTTAGTACCTATACTATATTATTCTACCAAAAGTCCAGAAATTTTGGTGTTGAAATTGCATTTTTGTGCCTTTCTATTTTTTTGCCTTGCATTATAGTAGCTAAACTTTTAAAACTTTACAAACAAGTCCAATGTATTAGTATGAGAAATTTCACATCAGTAGTTGTTATTACCATGGGTCATAGGGTCTAAAAATGACCAGATTCTAAAATAATCCGATCCTACAAAGCTAAAAGATAATATGATCCTAACTGATTATATAGACAAAATGACTCAACCCGAATCTGATCGAGTCGGTTAGTATCTAAGGCCAGACTTGCAGCTCTAGCCTCAACACATCAATATTTGTGTCTTAGTTCATAACTTAAAATGTAATACGACATATATATGCATGCATGCTAACCTGATGCGCCCTGCAGATTAGATCGAGATCATGCTTCCGCAGGAACTCAGCAACCCGATCCGCCCCAAACGTATACGAAACCCCTCTCTCATTAGCTCCCCACCCTCGAACCTCCCTCGACGGATCGGACCACACCAAATCGCACAGCAGCCCACTCTCGGGTATCGCAGTGGGTCGAGGCAGGTTCCTGATCTGGTCCAAGCTGTGGAGGTCCGGCGACAGCCCGCCGTGCATGCAGAGGATCTTGTCGTCGACCAGGGCCGCCACGGGGAGGCAGTTGAAGCAGTCGGTGAAGACCTTCCACAGCCTGACGCTGTAGCGGCGTTTGCATTCATCGTAGAAGCCGTAGATCCGGTTCACGGAGGCGCACTCGTGGTTGCCTCTCAAGAGGAAGAAGTTTTCGGGGTACTTGATCTTGTAAGCTAAGAGGAGGCAGATGGTTTCGAGGCTTTGTTTGCCTCTGTCCACGTAGTCTCCCAGGAAGAGGTAGTTGGCGCGTGGAGGGAAGCCTCCACTCTCGAAGAGGCGCAGGAGGTCGCTGTATTGTCCATGAATGTCTCCTGGAGAGTTTAATCACGATAACATTTTTCTACGGTCAGGAGATAAAAGGTAAATATAATGGTTTTGAAAAAACCTTTAACCAATTGACCAAGAAAGCTAATTTCAACCGTTAAACCGAGAAACGATGAAAGTGTAAATTAAGTTTTCATCATCATGTTGTTTACTTTACGAGTAATTTGTTTCCCTCGTTTAATAATTTGTTAAATTGGTTTGGAAAGGTGTATTTCAAAAGCAATATATTTGAAACGCATGTCCTTAATTAAATTGGTTGTATTTGAAATACTTGCATTTAAAGTAAATGTAATTCAAATTCGTTATTTCGATGCCTCTATGTAAGTTGTTGATATATAATTTTTGTTTTATTGTTACAATTTTTTAATAATTATATTTTTTTATATCAAAATTTATTCTTTGTAACAATTTAGTACCAAAACTTTGTATTTTACAAAGAGGTCCAACAAATTTGGTGGTAAAGTTAAATTTTGGTACCTTTATATTTTTGGCTTACATTATAGTACCTAAATTTTGTAAAACTTTACAAACATGTTCAATCTGTTGCTTTGAGGAATTTCAAATCATTAATTGTTGATATGTATTTGAAATTCACAAGTTATATATTACTAATATTAAATATGTATTCGGAAATCATCCTATAAATTTGATACAAATCCAAATATCATAAGTAATTATTATCCAAACAAATTAATAATTTAGTATTTGGAAATCCAAATCCCAAATACCTAATCTAAATTCTTCTATCCAAACACAATCCTTCAAGAATTTTCTTCATTGGTGCCTTGGACTTTGGTATGGGTATCATCCGGTTTATAACGAAAAAACTAATGATCATTAAGTAATACTAAAATCGCTAAAAGCGAAAATGAAATCGCTAATTAAGTTTAGACTGAAAAACAGTATCAAAGGTGACTGACTGGTTGGGTTGTACAAGTTTACCACTGATTTACTGTATCATACCAAGTGTGTAGTTATGAAGTGACGAAGGGAAACGAATTATTGAGAAGTGGGTAATTAATTAAGAGAGGGTTTTGCAGTTCTTACCGCAGATGTTGATGGGAGCTTCAAGCTCGAGGAGAACGGGCTGGTCCAAGAGAATCTGTCGTGAAGTGACGCAGAGCTGCACAATTTCATTCTCAGAGAGCTGGACCTGCTTCCCTGGCTTTCTTCTCACTTCAACCAATCGATTGATAATACTGTCCAGAACCCAACGCTCTATCATCCCTTCTCTGTTTTTTCTCTGTGTTCTGTTCTTCCGGAAAGATGAGAAGAGAGAAGAGAGAAAGGAAGGTCCAATAAGGAGGAGGAGGAGGAGGAGGAGGAGGAGAAGGGAATAAAGGTAAGGGGAGCATGGCTTTTTTGGTGGAATTAAAGAAGGGCAATAGGATTTTTGGAGGGTGATCGTTTTGAGTTTTGAGTGACTTTTGAGGTGGAGGGAAGGAAGGAATGTATGGTGGTGGATTTTAGGAGAAAAGAAGAAAAAGAAAAAAAAAGGAAAAGGTTATAGGTCGAATATATTCTCTACTCTTAGCTCTTTGTTGATGTGCGTCTGGGGATTCTTTCTCAATAAGAGAGATTTAGTTTGGTTGGAATTTGGTTTCGGATTTCAATTTCGAAAAGGGGTAGAAAGTAAGAGGTGGAATTTGCTTTGAGAAGAAGAAACATTAAAGTGGGGCTTAATTAGGGAGACGGTTCGGTTTCGGTTTTAACCAAAATTAATCGGTTTTATAAGTTTATCAGGTTTTTTTTAATGGGTAAAAATCATAAGCTCCTAATGATTCTCATTTAAACAAAAAATAGTTAATAAACCGATAGGAAATTGATAAGTCTTAATGTAATCAAAGATTTAACCTGATTGTTCAGTTTATTCTATTTGAAACTAAATTCATCGGGAGTCTATCAATTTTAGTTTTGGACAATTGACTAATTTGGATTCTGATTTTTAATGAATTTGGGTTAGGTTAACCGAACCGGGGGGCGAGCAGTGGGTTTTGGAGTGTGTAGAGGGAGGGAGTGCCTCATTTGGGACAGGGGAACTAATAGAAACAAAAAGAAGCCTCAATTATTCCATCTCCATGGGAAGGAATAGGGAGATAGATGAATATTGCTTGACAGTTTGAGTTGAGAGTGATGAGATGATTGATGCATTTGTGTCCTTGTATTTGGAAGGTGGGTCTTCCACTTCCCTTTGATATTGCAGAAGAAGAGTCACGATCCACTCAGCTCGCAGCCCACTTGCAATATTATGCACAAGTTTTTAACGGTGCCTGTGCTGCTGAGTCAAAGCTTCTAGCTACTCTCGACGGCCGGTGCCACTTTAATTAGCCCTTCTAGTAGCCGAATCTTGAGATCAACCTTGTCTATTTGGCCTGGTTTTTTTTAGGAGTTTGTTTATTTGGTATCCCATAGCTAGCTATCGCACAACACCTTAAACTATGGCACTTGCACTTCTTGAGAATGAAAATGGACTCTAATCGACGCACAAACAACGTTCACCGTGAATAATTTCAATGGCTTGCCTTCCCTAAATAACAAAATAGTAGCCCGAAATCTCATGCATGTGGTGGTTTTAGTGACTTGGGATTATAAATTGATAGTTAAGGACTTAAGGTTGAGACAGGGACGGAGCAGAATTCTTGATTAGGGGGCCAAATTTTTTTTTCCAAATTACTTACAGTAATGAGAAGAAAAAGAGAAGAATATTACACACAAATCATTCACAAATTTTTAAAAATATAGTCCACTTAAAATTGTGTCAAAATTACAAAAATCATAACTTATTTCTTTATAACTCAGGACAAAAGAACCACGTGTATAGTACATCATATAATTCTTAATTTCATAATTCAAAAATCTGAATACCGTCTCTAATAGTAAAATAAAGTAGTGGAGATATAATTATTTATAGATGTGAAATTGATATATTTTTAAAGAAATACGAAGTACATGCAAAACAATTGGAAAGGCTGAAAAAATACAGAGAAAACTAATATAAACTAAGCTAAATAGTACACCGACATGGTTAAAATTGAAAACAAATTCAGGAGCCGTCATGGGGATGACAAAATATCCTCTATGGGGCGCAGTTGCTGAAAGAAGGACTAAGGTGGCAAGTGCGTTATGGGGAGGAGGTTGAGATTGCTACGGCGAATCGGGTGTCGGCGTGTCATCCATAGGTCCAATTGGGGAGGGAGTGAGGGTGTCCTCGTTGATCATACAGAGTGAGGGGGAGTGGTGCCTGGATTGTCTGAGAGAGTGCTTTCCGGCAGAGGTGGTTTCAGCAATCCAGGCTATTGTCTTGCCACGAGCGGTGGTGACGGATGGGCTTGTCTGGCATGAGGAGAGTTTGGGGGTTTACTCTATTAAATATGGCTATCATCTGGCGATGAAATTGCGTAAAGCAAGGGGTAAGGGGAAGTGTGAAACTACCTGGATGGATAGAGGCTTGTGGAAGAGGGTGTGGAATGCTCCCATTCCGCCCAAGCTCCGGGTTTTTTGGTGGCAAATTCTTAGTCGTATCCTTTCCACTACGAAGGCCTTGTGTGAGAAGGAGGTTGATAACGTTATATTTGCACATGTTTGCACCCTTATATCTTAACCATTTTGGCTCGATGTTGTTGCTCCTTGGCCTTTTTTACGCTAGGTTGAGCTATTTTGTCATATTTCAGGTCCTAGTGGGTATATGAAGGTGTAGGCGCAAGTTTCAGGTCGTTTGGAGATCCAGAATACGGGCAGGCAAGGAGAAAAGCATGAGCGTGCTTTTTATCATCTTGACAGTGCTTTTACTGACGAGAGCCAACCATGAAGAATGCTGAAGAAAAGCAAAGCACGAGTAGCCCATGAGAAAAGCAAGACCGTGCTTAATTAAACACCGCCAGTGCTTTACCTAGACTTGCCCGTGTTTCTCCCGTTTTGCACTAAGTGAAACACGCATTTTGGGAAAAGCATGGTCAAGGGAGAAAGCACGACCGTGCTTCTGCCCATAATTCGCCCAGAATCGGGTTGAAAGAGGCAGATTTGAACCAAAGGAAGGGGATTCGACTTTTTGAAGAAAAAACAGAGTTATAGAGAGAGAAAGTGTGAATAACAAACCCTAGGAGCTATTTTGGAGTGGATTTCTCACCATTGAAACCCATATTGCATCCTCTGGAGTGAAGATCGACATCCCAGAGCATATTATTCCCATCTTTAGGAGTATGACTGCTTTGAATTCTGTTTTCCTCTTTCTCTCTATGGAGTAGACCTTTCTCTCACTTGGGTATGAAGAACCCTAGTTCCATGTGTTAGGGATTTGGGTTGCAGTGACTTTTGGATTGATATACTGTTTGATTATAATCGATTGAAGTGTGTTTATTGAGTCAATTGAATCCTGATCAACTTCTTTTGCTTTTTGCTGCATTCTGAGATAGATAGAATCTGATTAGGTTGTTAGAGCTTCTTCAATTGGCAGGAGTGGATTGATTATACGAGAGTTAGTCAATGCATTGCTTTGTACTAGAATACAATTTAAGTAGTGGAGTTCTGTTTTAACTGCCTTGGCTTTCTATCCCGGTGAAGACTAGTCGTTTGCCAGTTAGTCTGTCTAAGAGGGCTTGGTCAGCTTAAAAGATTCCAAACTACTGTCGGATCTTCCGCAGTTTAATCAACAGTAAATCAATCTAAGAAAATTACAACTTGGACCTAATTAAGGAGTTAGGGGGACTCATTCTCGAGTGACTCTTCTCTTGCTTCAGGAAACCAGACAATTTACTGCTTCTTTCTGCTTTACTTTGAACTCACCTACATTCACTTAGTTCCGCTAGATAATAGATAATCACGGAGTAGGCAGTACATCTAGGCACTGGGTTGACATTTATTACTTGATTCCACTATACTGCATTTCCATTCTGCGATTACACTTGGTCGCAGTTTGGAGTTGTGTTTTAGCATATCAGAGGTTGAGGTGTAGGAACGATGCCTGATATGTTGGGATGAGTTGGAATCCCTTGAACATTTGTTCCTCTCGTGCCCGGTACCACTGGAATTGTGGGAAGCTTCTGGACTCATGACTACCTGGTTGGGTTTACCAGAGATTAACATGGGCATTTTTCTCCATCGATGGCTGGAGAAGGAGGCGATGGACACTAGGTTGATGCAGTTCACATCTCTGTTATGGCAAATTTGGAAGTCCTATAATTGGGTCGTGTTTGAGGGAGTCCAGTACAAGGTTGAGGTCCTGCATCATCAATTTGAGGCTTAGGTGCAGGAATGGAATGTGGTTGTGGCTCAACCATCGAGACGGGGGTGTTAGAGTGGCTAATGTGCCACCTCCTCTCCCAAAAGATATCACCTTGATTTGCTCCTTTGATGGGCAATCCGCAGTGTGTCGCATGCGGCTATTGGTGTGGTGTTGCGTGGTACTGATGGAGTGGTCGTGGATGCTATGGGGAAGGCGTTTATGGCGGTTTCAGATCCTATGCTAGTAGAGTTGGGGACACTTCGAGAAGCTATACTATGGTGTTGTGGGAAGGGTTTACGAGGTCTCTGGTTTTAAGGAGATGCTTTGAAGGTTATCTAGAAGGTTAACTCTACCAGTGATTGTGATAGTCGGGGCGACACCGTGGTGAGGGAGGTTCAACAGCTATTGTCGGCAAAGCCGCGGGACGTGGTCCAGTTTGTAGGCAGGGATAACAATAGGGTAGCCCATAGGGTGGCAGAAAATACCCTTTCTTTGTTTACTATTCTGATGGGTAGGTTTGATTTTTGCGCTTGGCTCCGTTCGGAGTTGTAACCGCTGTGATCTTTTGATTCTTGGTAATGCAAGCTATATTATCGTAAAAAAAAAACTAAAAAGAACACCAGAAAAAACTAATATAAACTAAATAATAGAGAGGCAAGGGCCGATAGAAATTAAAAACAAATTATAAACTATAAAATAAAGAGGCAGAGGCATGGTAAAAATTGAAAACAATGCAGAAAAGGATGGCAGGGGTATTATTCAAACCATCTATCTCTCCACCACTTCACATTGACCTTGAACCATAAACGACTACGCCATGACTTGCTTATGATGCAAACATCTCATGTTCCACCGATTTCTAGAAATCTAGGGGGGCATGACAAGCTGGCTCCGTCCCTGGGTTGAGAGGATTGATGACATTCTCGATTTATCACGTAATAGTTTTAAACATCATTACTATACAATCTTATTAGAAATTTATTTTCAAAAGGTATAGATAATAAGTTATAGCGAGAATTATTGACATTGTTTTGTTCTTTGGGTGCGAATAGGATGGAAAGAGGGTCGCGTTTGAACAAAATCCATATATGAACCAACCTGTCAATTATAAATGCTGGTAAAACTCGCTCCCGACCCAAAACTCATCAACACCAGTCACCAGGTTCAAACGGTTTTGACCAGATCGAATTAGG